TTGACCAAGATCGCCAATGGCCACCTTAATCATCCCAAAGGAGGCTCAAGTTCCGCTCCATGACCTTCTTGTTCTGGCTTCAGGACTTAAGACTCTGCCTTTTCTCCTTGGCTTGAGATGCTGTTCAGTCTCCTTTTCTCGGTCTCCACTCTAGTTGCTGAAGTTCCTTAAGCTTCATCCTATGCTGTGGTGAGTACAGGACAGAGGCCTGCCTACGTGACCTCAAGCAGAGTCCCTGTCACGGAGAAACACTCACTCAGGACGCCCAGCCTCGGCCCTTAGCCCCCACCTCGGAGACGTGGCAGGTGATTGCTAAAATTCTGGGCCGACACTTCAGCGCTGCAGATGCCACCAGGGTCCAGGAACAACTCCAGCGGGAATACGAGAGGTCCCTGAGCCGTCTGACAATGGATGACATTGAGCGGTTGGCCAGCCGTTTCCTGCACCCTGAAGTGACTGAGGCTACAGAGAAGGGGCTCTCCAAATAAGATCCTTGGCATGTGGAGGAGGCGTGGCTGCATGTTGCATTAAACGTGATCTCATAATAATAATAAAAGGATAATAGCTGACTGATGCTGCCTCTTGCAAGGTGCTGGTCCCTAACAAGAGGGAGAGAAGAGAGGATCCTAGCAATGAAGGTGGGGTGCGGCAGGAGCCTCAGGATAAGAGGGAGCCAGCCAGTGGTGGTTTGGAAGAGTTCCCAGTGCTGAGAACAAATCCTGATGGACTCCCTCCTATACCCGAAAGGGGAGGGAGCTAATCCCTGGGACCTCATCCTGCTACCTGCCCTCACAAGAGACTATTTGACATATGTCCTGGCAGGTGACAGCCAGCCTTAGGGTGCTCTGATAAAGGACAAATAGATCAGGAAGCTAGGGGGAACAGTTGCCCAGCTCTCTGGTATGGCCTGGGGCACAGAACTGTGCCATGCTGGCTCCCAGCCCTTGGCTTGGCCCGTGCTCACCATTCCTCTCGGCTGAGCTCATCTTCCTCATCCTCACTCCAGCCCGTGAGATCTCTGCACCAATGGTTCTCCCTTGGATCTGATAAATAAACAGGTCAAAAAGGAAATGATGGCCAGATGCGGACAAGAGACAGGAAGGGGTACTTTGGCCCTTCATGTCACAGCGCTCCTCTGTCTCCTAAAAAAACATTTTATTTCATCTTTTAAGTGTGTTCTTGAAAATTAGATAAAAATATTACCAGTTACATACAACCTTAATGAATTCATTTAATAAGAGTAGCTGATATCTAATTATGATTGGATATAATAAAATATTTACAGAGCTTTATTAGGCTCTCTAATGTCTTTAGGTTTCGCATGAGCACAACCAAGTGTTCTGGGATTCCCATTCTTCCCAGAGTCAGCCACAGTTTTTTATGATCCACATGCTCAAATGGCTTTGCATAGTCAATGCAACACAGATAGACATTCCTTTGGTACTCCCTGCTTTCAGCCAAGATCCATCAAATAATAGCTACAATATTCCAAGTACTACAACCTCTTCTAAACCCAGCCTGCACTTCTGGCAGGTCTCTGTTGATGTGCTGTTCCAGTTGTTTTTGGATAATTTTCAGTAGAATCTTGCTGGCATATAATGTCAATGATACTGTTTGATAATTTCTGCACTCTGTCAGGTCACCTTTCTTCAGAATGGGAACAAATATAGATCTCTTGCAGTCAGCTGGCCAGGTGGTTGTGTTCCAGATTTCTTGGCACAACTTGGTGAGCATGTGCAGGGCAGCATTTGTGTCTTGAAATATGTCGTTTGTGTGTCATCAATTCCTGGGTCCTTGTTTTTTGCCATTTTTTCCAGAGTAGATTGGACTTCTTCCTTCATCACTACAGGTTCTTGTTTATACGTTGTTTCATTAAATTCTTCTGTGTCTGCCAATTTCTTTTGGTACAATACTCTTTCCATCTTTTTTTTATGCTTCCTCGATCATTTTAATATTCTGCCCAAAACATCCTTAAGTGTTGCAACTCGAGGCTTGAATTTGTTTTTCAGTTCCTTCAGCTTAAGAAATGCTAAATGAGTTCAGTCCCTTTGATTTTCTGACTCCATGTCTTTGCACATTTCATTATAATACTTTTATTTTCCCATGTTGCCCTTTGAAGCCTTCTGTTCAGCTCTTTAATATCTTGATTTCTTCCCTTTTCTTTAGCTTCTCAGAACTCTAGCACAATATTCAGTCTCTTGACATCCATCTTGGTCTTTTCCTCCTCCTCTGTCTTTGTAACAACCTTTTGCACACCTCCTGGATGATATTCTTGATATCCTCCCACAACCCATCTGGTCCAAGACCTCAATCATGTTCCTGAGATAGTTTTGAAACTCAAGTAGGATAGACTCAAGTTAAAATTTTTGCTCCTGTGGATTTGATTTAATTTTCTTTAGCCTCAGCTTGAACTTGCATATGAGTGGTGGTCTGTTCCACATTTAGCTCCTGACCTAATTTTCACAGCTGACACTGAGCTTCTCCAGTGATTCTTAAAACAGATATAATTGACCTGATTCTTATGCAAAATCTCTACTTGGGCCAGGAGGGAATTGTCTGAACAGAGCAAGGAAACACCGCATGATTCAAATTTGGGCAGGGTATATGCCAGGGATGTGTCCTATCTCCATACCTTTTCAATCTATATGCAGAGCACACTATCCAGGATGCTGGGCTCAATGAGGAGAAATATGACATTAGGACTGGAAAAAGACTCATCAACAATCTGCGTTATGCAGATGGCACAGCCTTGCCTACTGAAACTGGGGAGGACCTGAAACACTTGCTACAGAAGGTCAGGGACTGCACTCTGCAGTATGGATTGAAGCTCAACATCAAGAAAACAAAGATTCTCATCACTGGGCTGATTGATAGCATCCTTATAGATGGTGAAGAGATTAAGTTTGTTAATAGCTTTCGCTTACTTAGCTATACAAACAACACCCTTGGTACCAGCAGTTAGGAAATCAAACGACGAAATTGCATTGGAGAAGTCTGCAGTCAGAGACCTCTCCAAAGCACTGAAGAGCAATGATTCCAGTCTGAAAACTATGGTGTGCCTGATTCAGGCCATAGACTTTGCAATTACTTGTTACGAATCAGAAATCTGGACAATGACTAAAGATGATAGAAGGGGAATTGGTGCCTTTGAGCTGTTGTGCTGGAGAAGAATGTTGAATATGCCATGGATTACTAGGAGAACAAATAGGTTCATCGTAGAGAGGGTGAGACCAGGCTGCTCCTTGGAGGCAAGGATTCTTAAGCTTTATCTGATATACTTTAGATATGTTGCAAGGAGGGACCATTTCTTGGAGAGGGACATCAATGCTTGGGAGGGTGAAAGGACAGTGCAGGAGAAGAAGACCCTTGATGAGATTTATTGATTGATTCAGTGATTGGGGTAATAGTAGTAGGTGTGTCAGAGACAGAGATTGGCACAGGATAGAGCAGAGTTTAAGACTGTTGTACATAGGGTCACTATGAGTTGCAAGCGACTCAATGGAATATAGCAACAATAGTGACAAGGGATCTTAAATTTTACTATAGACGAAATAAAATAAATAAAAAATGTTGTTGCTATGTGTTATTGAGTCACCTGCAACCCATAACAACCATATGTACAGCCACTCTGAAGCCTGCCCTTACCTGAACCTGTCTCACTGATTCTGACACACAACATTAGTTGCCCAAGTTACTGCATCAATCCATCTCCTGTGAGGTGTTCCTCTCTTGCATTGTCCCTCCACCCTTCTGAAGATGATGTTCTTCTCCAAGTAATGGTCTCTTCTAGTCACATGCCCAAGGTATGTGAGATGGAGCTTCAAAATCCCAGCTTTCAAGGAAAAACACGGTTTCACATTCTCCAAGACAGACCTGTCTGTTCTCTTGGCAGTTTGTGGTATGTTCAAGACTCTTCTCCAGCATCACACCTTGAAGCCATCAATTCTTCTTCTTTAACCCATAATCATTGTCCTGCTCTCTGATCCATAGAAAGTTATTGTAAAAACTATGGTCTGAAGCAGGTGCAACTTAATTTCCAGACTGACATTGTTGATTTCAGTACTCTAGAGAGATCCCTGACAGATTTTCCCAGTGAAATTTGTCTTTTTATTTCCTGACTACTGGTGCCAAGAATGTTGATTGTAGAGCAGATATCTAGCTGAATCCTAGGTTTCATACATTTTGTTGTTGTTCTTGTTAATTTCTGTTCTATTCATAGGCATGGTTTAGGGTAGAACTGTGCTGAAAGTGCTCCTTTGAGGAGCAGCTATCTAAGCTAGTCTTCCAAGGTATCTATGAGGAGGTTTGAACTGCAAAATCTAAAGTATGAACCTAGCCTTTACCCAATTGGACCGCCTGTTAATTTCTTATCAGCTATTTATAGGTAGGTTAAAAGAACAGAGACAAAGAACAGTTAAAAAGACCAGAAACAATTAAAGGAGATGCTGGTGGAGCAGCCAGTCAAGTGGCTGGAAATCAATCTGAAGGTCTCAAGAAACTTTAAATGTCAATTCTTTTTAATGCAGGTGGTAATAGATAGTGGCAAGTGAATTTCTGTGAAATTTTAGTTGTTGAAAGTCTTATAAGTTAAATTTTAACTCTGAGAATTAAAATGCAATGAAAGCAAGATTATAGGAAAATGGAAAACGACAAAGTAGGACAATGATTGAAGAAAAATTTAAATTTCTAATTCAGTAGAAAACAGGACACATGATGATATGCAGAAGCTCAAACAAGGGTTATTTAGAGTAAGTAGCTACTGGCTACTAAAGCATTTTCCTCCTTCAACTATGAGCCTGGCGGGCCTTACCACTTTACTACAGGTAAAGGGGATCAATCACGGGCCACCACGGGCTGAGGCTCCCAGTTAAAATAGTTCTTGGCCCTCGGGCTTGAGGCCTATGGATCAGGAAAACAAAAATTATGTACCCATCTTAGAGGACATATTGCTCTCTCCTGGGAAACTATCCTCTTGTATCAGCATCTTGTTGCAAATGGAAGAGGTACTGAGCCACAAGAAGTCAATCCTGGAGGAGAAGCTCAAAGCAAAGGATCATATCAACTCTATAAATTTTCAGTTGTTGTTGTAACATACAGTTAAGTAAAGCATGGCCCATGTTGTTATTGTTTTGTACAGTTGAGCTGGAACCGACCATTAGCTGACTGACCATCTGGAGGGTTTTCAGAGGCAGTTAAATTTCATGGGAGGAAATTGTCCACCCTAAGAGCAGCTGGTGAATTCAGATCACATGTATTTGTAGTGCAGCTTCTTGCCACTAGACCACCAGAGCTCCCTACAACAGTTCTGCACCCTGTCCTACCCTGTGCCATTTTCACACTTCCTGACACATTGTTGTTGCTAGGGGCTGTTGATTTGAGTACCATTAACAGGGACACTATAAAAAAAAAGATCTGAACCCTGCTCTAACTTGTGTTATCCTCACTCATCCTGAAAAACAATAATGGCCCATTGTAGCAGTTGCCATGT